GAAACAGATCTAGATGGCATTAGGTTCAAAAGTCAGTGGATGAGGAAACCCATCCACAGTCATGCCCTTAAACATCCCTTAAACACCAGTCAAATATTTTATGTAAACATTCCCCACCCAATTCATTAATTCCAAGTCATATGACTTGAGCATTTATTTATTTTTATTTGGGGGCCACACCCAGCAGTGCTCAGGCTTTACTTCTGGCTCTGCTCTCAGGGATCACTACTGGCAGGATTTGGGTAACCATACAGTGTTCCAGGGATCGAACCTGGTTGGGCCATGTGAAAAGTAAGTGCCCGACCTGCTGTTAGGGCACTATTGCTCCAGCCCTGAATTTTGCTTTCAATTAGTTTTAGGACATGGCAACAGGCTGTATTGTAAAACTGTCTTTATCATTCCTGGTCTACTGCAGCGCTTTCCTCATTATCTGCCACTTCTGCACCATCTTTCTGCCACCTCTGGGCTATTCACCACAACAAAGTCAGAGTGACACTTTCAAAGAGCAAATACCATCACCTCACTTTGCTTTAAGTCCATTCGATGTGATTCTGTTGTATACATTTTGGGGTAATACTCTAGAAGGAGGGCAATGCCAACTCTGGGAGGGAAATGGCATACTATGAAGAAAATAATGAACTAGGTAGAAATTTCTACCTTGAATTAAGAGCCCGGCAAGCTACCGAGAGTATTCGATATGCCAGACACAGTAACAACAAAGTCTCCAATGGAGACGTTACTGGGCCCGCTCGAGCAAATCGACGATCAACGGGAGGGCCTTTACCTTTACCTTTTACCTTTAAAAAAAGGGGCTTATTTGGCTATACTGAACCCTGTCAAAAATTCAAGAAATACTTATAAAATAGATGACCAGAAATAACAAGTTTGATGTGTTAAAATGAATATTCGTCAGTCCCCAACTCAAGTCCATTAACTCAGACTGGCTAGGGATGAAGTCAAGAAATCTACAATTTTTACAAATACCCTATGTTCTTACTCATTCTAAAGCACTTTGAAGGTAGCTGCATATTGGGAAATATAACAAACTTTCAGTGTCAAGTCTGAGACGCAAATAAGTTGCAATTGCATAAATAAAGCCTCCCCTATCCAACAACAATGGTATATTACAAATTCAAACCTGACCAATTCTAACCTAGATCACAGGTTTCAAAAACATTCAACATTTGAGCAGGTCATGCCACATCACAGGATGTCAGAATCATCACATGCTGTAAAACTAACTCACATAGGCCCAGTCACATTCAGGTCAGTGTTTACTCCAATTCTTGCCCTGAAGATGCCATCTGGCAAGTCACCTCTAGGAAACTGTGAGAGAAAATTACAAAACAAAAACTATGACTTGCCCCTAACATTCAACTAACTTCTGACAAGCTCTGAGTGGGATTCAAACAAAAGCAGATCTAGGTAATCTTGTGCATTCTAAAAGAGCCCTTAAGCTCAGATGATGAGCTTTGTTAATGAGGAAGCTACAATTCTCCCCAACCAGCTTATTCTAAGATCCTAGCATTTACCAGGCTTTCCTGACATCATCAAAACTGGTCCCTAAGTGACTTTTCTCTGGCCTGGGATACCATGTGACCCAATGTCAGGATCTGCTTCCTGCATCAGAGAAGGCCCACCAGCTGCAGTCTTCAATATAACCACTCTCTCCAACTTGGAGGTGCTCCAACAACACACAGCACTGACTCCCAACTTATTTTTTCTTTTCTTTTTTGATTTTTTTTTTTTGGACCATACTTGGCAGTGCTCAAGGCTTACTCCTGGCTCTGCACTCAGGGATCACAGCTGGTGGGCTCCAGGGAACATAAAGAGATCAAACCTATGATACATGCAAGTCAAGCGCCTTATTCACTGTATTATCTGTCCAGTCCTTAATTTTTTACCTTAATGCAAGGTTTCAAGAATGATTTGCCTTGTACAAATTAGCCCTGCCAAAATGTTTTTCTCCATGAAAAGTAATGACAGAAAAAGAAAAGATTTTGATAAAATAAAAGTCCTGAGGGCTACTTTGAAAGACATGGGGTTCAGCTGTGGGGCTACACACAAGTTTCTCATCTGAGTCATCTTATGTGGTTTAACAATTCCAGTTTTGAAATTTCTGAAGTGCATTTCAATACTGAATTTTAACTCATTATTTTCAAGTGCTTTTACTTAAAGTATTCAATCCTACACAAGTTGGATGAATCATTACTAAACATAAACAAAACAATCACTGGCTAGACTTACTGCAACAAAGGGAAAGTGAGACTACTCAGAATTCACTAAAGAGAAACACAAAAATATGAAGACGAAGAATCTTGAAGAGTTTCTAACTTTGTAGACTTTGTTTTCTAAATTCAAATTGTAGTTTTAAATGCATAAAATCAGCAGGTTCTCATGGGTCGGGGGGCGTTCAGGTCCATCCTTCACGCCCTACCGTGGTCACCAGTTGCCCCTCGCGAGCGGCTCTCCAGCACAGCCACGGCCCCAGAAGCACAAGGACTTAATGCAGAACCTGGCAGCTTGGAGCAGAAAAGTGAACGGACTATGCGTTAATCCAGGCCATCAAGTCTGCCGGAGGGGAAACGGTGTTGCCCCATTCGCCCTCTCCTCTCTGGAAAGAAAGATTGCGGCCGCATGGGAGCCTTGTGGACAGCAGGTATGAGCCGGGGGTGTGGGGGAGACTAAAACCTCATGGGAAGGGGGGGCGTTTCGGTCCGCCCTTCACGCCCTACCGAGGCCACCAGTTGCCCCCCACGAGTGGCTCTCCAGCACGGCCACGACTCCAGAACACAGAAACCAATTTCTTAACTATCTGACTTTCAGTAGAAATACTTCCAGGGTCAATAGGTAAAATAGCAGAAATCCAAAACCAACATTTAATTCTTGAACCCAGCTGTAGAAAGCAAATCACTTCACAATGCTTTTTCAGCATGTCTGATTTGGGGGGGGGGGGTAAACTCTAAATAATAGTGGTGAATCTTTTATTGAAACAGTGAATCTAATCAAAGCAGATAGAGTGTTAACGAATTCATCTGCCTCACAGGGACTGGGAGGGGTGGGGGTGGGGTTTTATTGGGGTTCTTCATGGTAAAAAATAAGTATTGGTAAAGGGAAATGTGTTTGATATTTGCATGACTGAGACCTAAACCTGAAAGCTTTGTAACCTTTCCCACAGTGATTCAATAAATAAATAAAAAAAAAGAAAATAAAAAAGAAAACTGCTTCAAAATATCCTTTCTACTAAACCCCTTACAAAACTTTATCTAATTTTATTATGTGCATCCCTACTTCCATTTATCCAGGCTACTTAGAAGATGAATATTATGTAATTTATTTATGAAATGCAGAAACTTTCTATTATTTTGTTCTATTTATATAAAAATAAATCATATTAGCAAATAGTATATATTTTAAAAATCTTATAAGATATCTATTATTTAAAAATGAATTCCAGTTTAGTGGTGTAAATTTGTAAATAGCAATCTCTTGTTATTATTTTGTATTTTTGAGAGCTCTGTTCTAAACTTTTTCAGTTTTGCTGTAGTTTATTAAAATTTTTCCTTGTGAGTTCAAAAAAAAAATCAGCAGGCTAGTTTTTATATTTTCTTCACTGGTCCTTAGATGTTCAACTCTCCATTTTGCAAAAGAGAAAACTGCTCTCCCTATCCTACCCAAATTCTGAAACTCTACAGCAGACACTCCAGGCAATGAAGCATGCAAGGACCCTCAAGCTCTCTTGAGCATGCTGACCCAATCTGCCAATACACTGGGTAGAACAGTGAGGTAAATTGTTGTTCTCTGGGATTTCAAAGACCCAACAGGTCAAATGAGAAAGATGTTTAAGATAGCAAAACCAGTACTCCATTTAAACACTGAATTTTTAAGCAATTGAGAAATGCATGGAAAACAGGTATTAATGCTAACTGAGAAATATTTTTTAAATTCAGTGTTTATTTGTCAAATACCAACTGCCTTTTCTTTCATTCCTTTCTGGTTCTGATCTTTGGGAAAACCACATCAGTATCAAATGTCACTTGGTTCTTATTCAAACAGAACAAAGCAGACACAGCGGCTACAGCCATGGCTTTGCTGACCTGAACCCTCAGGAAAAACAAACCTCTATAAATCACCAGATGCAAGCAATTGGATAGTGATCACGTCAATTAATTGAACAGCTTTACTGAAATTTACTATATAATTTCAACACTTCCAACACCTTTTCCAGAAACAACTAGCAATGGTATACTTTTTCTTATGCGGTTCAAGGAAACATTTCTAACTTCAGTGGCATATATATATATACATATATATATATGGGTTTTTTAACGACACAACTTTAAGGTGGTAAACTACTTATTTTATTCATAAAACCATATATATTCTAAATGTTACCTTCAAATGCCAAAAGTAAAAGTGATAACCAAACGTCTGCCTCACAAATACAGAAAATTTAACACACTTTATTTGAAAACTTCTTTTGCAAAACAATATATAATAGCACGTTAACTTCAATCACATCAGTCATATATTTAACTCTAGATGCATGATATTTGTTTTGATGTTTCTGAACCTTAATTTCCACTGTAGGCCCCATGTAACAGGGGATGCCTTTAATGCCTTATTTTCAATTTCTCTTCACAAAATTTTGCCCATTTGCCAAGAGAAACTATGCAATATTTAATCTATAAAAGCCCAAGCAATCCACAGAGAATAAAAAAGAGTTAAGAACTCCAGTATCAGAAGATATAATCTGATACACATCTCTGAAGTGTAGACAGTTTTTCTGAATCATGGAGAACAGCTCAGCAATGACAACAGAACATAACAAGTGTGCTGTGACAGCAATACTTAAAACAGTAAGTGGTGGAAAACGGTGGGGGTAAGTTAACCAATGTAAAGAACACTTCTTATTCACGCTGAAGGAAGTACTCATAGTTTACTGGTAAATCGCAATCCCATAGGAGCTGCTACCCATGGTCCTGCAAACATTAACTTACAAGGAAAGAAGTGTAATATTTGCCGAGACTTGTCCCAGATTTGGAATGGTCTCTAATTCATTGTTGTTGAGTTTCCTATAAATGCCAAAGGAAAGAAAAGAGAGAAGGAAAAATGGTCATTAGGGAATCTGCAATTCATAAGACATTTGTAAAATTATTTTTAAAACAGTTTCCAAATTATAAGTGCTAAATAACCATGTACAGTCTAAATATTCCTTACAGTTAAGAAGTTTGATGTAACAGGTTATTTTATTCAAATCTCAAATAGAAAAATAAGACTTACACTTCTTGAAGGTTGTGAAGGTGACTCATCGAACTTGCCTTGATAAAAGACAATTTGTTGTGACTTAAGTCCCTAAGAGAAAAAATAAAATTGTAAGTTGTTGGGGAAAAACAGTAATACAGCTTAGTGATGCGCAATGCAGTGACCTTAGGAACTCTGTTTATAAACTATTTATGAACTAGCAACACTGGGGACAACAGAAGAAAAAAATCTCCCCGCCTTGTCCACAAACTAAAATGCCAAATTCAAACTCTGAGGATAAAATTAGTTTAGGAGGATGGTAGAGTCAAAAGTCTTGAGGCCCACAAATGTTTTAGGAGATGTTTTTTTGGCAAAGAGTGAACAGATCTTTTGTGAACTGGTTATTTTGCTTCACCCACTCCATCCTTTACCTTCTCAATTCCAACTTGATATGATTAAGTCATGGTTTATGAAAAGTGGCTAATTAGGCAGGTTGCTGAAACCAAAACCTCTAAAGAACCTTTTATTATCGTAAAATTAAGCATCAGAGTCCTATTACAGTGAAACAAAACAGAAATTGCTTTTCACTCATATTGATTTATTTGGGTTCAGGCACCAAAATATTTAAAGCATCATTGTGTCTATGTAGGCTGAAGACAGAAGCCAACCTGAATCTTTAGCTTTCCTGAATCACCCCAAATCTAAATATCAGTTAAAGTAACGTATAATTTAAACCTGATCAGCTAACAACTTTAAGAAGACTGTACAGAAAGCTGTGATCAGATTTCTTTCCAATTATTAAAATAAACCTGCTTTCTTACTCAGACACTCAATCTAACTTAGGGACAATTTTCATGATTTTAATTGTTTGAAAACACCTAAACAAAACCTCTATGTAGGAAATAATCTAGGTCAGGAAGTCACCTGAACCTTAAAGATTCAAAAGATGAAACAAAACATGGCAAATATTTGGTTCTCACCACTATGCAGATTGATGTACTGAAAATGGACCTTCAAGGGGGGGTGACAAAAAGGAAGTGGTGGAAGAGCAGCTGGAAACCAGATTAACCAACTGAGGAGCTGTGAGTCCTCCCACTGAAACAGGTTAACCCATTATATTAATTCCTCCAGCGTTTAAAGATAAATAATTTCAAATAACCAACATTTTAGATAACTACATTTCATTGGAGGAAAGTATGGACCTTCCTGTTAGATGCCTAAGTGTGCAAAAGAAGGGGAGAGAAAAAAAGGTAGAGAAAACACAATCAGAGAGGCAGTGTTTGGGCACATCCATTAATGAACAATTAGAAATTAGGGATCCTTTCCGGCTTTGATTTTCTGTTTTGAGAACCAACTTGGCTTTCCCTATTTCACCTAAATAGAAAAAAAAATCTGCTGAGGTTTTATTTGAAACATGTTTGCCTAAAGACCTACCAGATACTAACAGACATGAGGAGATTTGTTCTGGTAGAGTTATAACATGAAAAAAAAAAAAAAAACTTGGCACAGTCTTTAAACTATAAAAATCCTGCAATTACAACCACTGCTGTGCATGCCCACCATGCTGGAGCCAGACACTTTCCCTCACAGCCCTGCTCACGTCCATCTGGAGTTCATCAAGGAAACCGTGAGCCCAACAACTCGTTAGGATTCAAACAAAACCGGTATGCTAAGAGCACCACAGACAGTCACAGATTTCCCACCGGGTTTACAAAACAACCCCGGCAAAGAGGCCTTCACCTGGGAAGTCGCCCCAAAGATCAGCAAGTCTCTGTGGGCCCCACTTTACTAAAGAACCTTGAACAAGCATAAAACTGTATCCCCTATTGTTTCAAGTTTTAAAGGGAAGGGGGAGCCAATCAGGCGTTTACCTTTAAGACAGGTGGTTTTCTTTTTAATTAGATAAATTAAAACCACACTCTGCACTTCAACTTAAGGATTATTTCACAGAGCAATCCTGTGAGAAACGGATTGAGTTCTCCCCACCTTCCCCACTTTTTTTTTTCCAGCCAGAAGGGGAAGAGATCCGCCAACTAAATTGAGAAGTCTGAGAACAGAGCATGCTCTGGGGACCACTCATATTTGATCCAGGACACAACCTTAAATATTTCAGTTATTACAACACACTTCCATTTCTATACATATAATAGTACACAAAACTCCATTTCTGCATTCTGTGTATTATAAAAACCCTGTGATATGTTGAGAGGAAAAAAAAAATTCCTTCAGTGACTTTTACTACTAAATACCATGAAACTTCTAAAAGCCATGAAGCATTTAATGTACCTAAATTTAGATGTAATATAGTCTGCTTTAGAAAAAATTACTTTCAAATTAAAGGATGCCACATTTCCCCCAAATCTTCCTATAATGTATTTAGGGTTAGGCCATTAAACACAAATTCAAGTTCTACAATGCCCACGTTTTTCTAAACCCATAAAAACACTCAAGAAGAAAAGCAGACATTTGGTTTTGAGAGCTCCTTTACTGAACATCTTCCCCAGGAAACCTTCCCATAACACTTTTTTGTAATGAGGTTTAATGGCAGAAGTAGTGAGACAGGGAGGTGATAAATATTTATCCAGAACTCAGCTGGCCAAATACTTGAAAATCAAACTCTACCTGGTAGAATCTCTCTTGCTGCCTTATTAGCAAGTAAATAAATATAGATGAAAATAATTAATTTACAACATTTGGTTTGAGCTATCATTTTTTTCTGCTTTTAGCATTTAGGAATCTGACTTCCAAAGACCAATTTCAAAATGTAAATCTAACACAGTTTCTTAATCAATCCCACTGGGGCCTGCAGAGCTGCTAATTCAGCAGAAATCTGGAAAGCTGAAAAACAAAAAGCCAGGCTGTAGCCGTTTTAAGACACTGATCCAAAGTGACTCATAAATCAGCCTGCTATGCTCGAGTTTTAGTCTGGAAAATATAGAAACACAGCTGTAAAAACCATAAGGACTATTACCCCGACCCCAGCTGGTGATTCTAGTACTGACCAGAGAAAGTCACAAGAGAACCCTTGAAGTCACAACAGCAGAAAGTGCCTTTCAGACTTCTGCTGGGACCCAGCTAATTCAAATGTTTGGTGATAAGATAAATAATTCCGAAATGCCAGGGAGGTTTTACGAGCAGTTTTCCTGCAATTGAGTTTTGCCACTTCTGGCTAAGGAGCACAGTCTAACAAGCTCTCTCCTTTAGTTTAGGGCTCCGCAATCACGAATTCTAGATGTAAACTCAAGCCTGTCTTTAAACGCAATTGTAAGCAATCCTTTAAATACGTGCTGTTTTAAAGAGCCACTTTCACTAAAGTAACAGATAGAAGTCACTTTCTGAAAGGGCTGACTACATTATTTCACAAGTCAAACCATCCAATTTTTCACACATGGAACTTTCATGACTATAAATGACAACAGAATCAAGTGGAAAAATACATACATACCCGTATAATAGAGACTTCATTTTTTCATCTTGAAAATTCAACAATTGCAACAAAAGACGAATATTAAAAAGTTTTTCTGGAGAGTGCTCTCACCAACTAGCCCTCAGACAAATTTCTACCATCTCAATTGCCTAACAAAAAGGAAAGTAAGATGGGGGGAGAACAATGTGCATTTTTCTCCTTATTTCTGAACACTGAAACAGACGGCTGTAAAGCTTTTCCAATTACTTAAAAATCTAAGAAACATCTCTCATGCCTCCTGTTCCAAGCACCAACTAACAGAGAAGACAAAGCTCAATTCTGAGTGTTTTTTTTTTCTTTTCAAAGGTGGAGAGAAAGGACCACTGGAGCTTCAAGCACAAACAAAAGAAACATTTACAATAAAGAATTCAAGCCACATGGTTTGGTGACAACTACAGAGTTGGTTCAAAGTCACACAAGTACAAGAATGACAGAGCTGTCCAATGAGTGATCACAGTGGGGCTTCTAACAACAGGAATCCTGCTTATTTATACAAGTGGAACTTATTTTCACATACATTTAAGGAATGTGGACTTGTATTGAGACAATTTACTGCTGGCGGAAATGTAATTAAAGATTGTGCTAACCAAATAAACTGTAATTTGTTTTTAGTGTGCCACCAAATTATCTACAAAACAAAATCCTAATTAGGTCAGCTACTTTTAAGACCCTTAAATAGGTATCATACCCCTTTTGGTTTAACTCAACTTCTAATCAAAAGCAATACAGCTAATTGTTTAAAAGATGCCCAAATTCACACACAAAACCCTGCACAATGGCATGACCCAAGAGGCCATCTGACACTGAGAAAAGAACAGAGTATAAATCGAAAGAGCGAGTAATTCAGATATCTCTAAATGTACCCCGGAAGCACTATATTAATTTGCTTTTCCTTATCCCTCTTATCACTCGTAGGTGTTCACCTCCAGTCATTCAAATGTTCAGTTCCATATGTTGTCAATCAGCCATTCACATTTCATGAGTAAGACAGCATGACCTCCACTAGAGGCAACTGAACAGAATTAGCTACAACTAATTGAAAGTCTTCCTGCTTTGGGTTAAAGACCCTGTCTCCTTTTTTCAATTGTAATAAAAACTCCTAAGTAAAAGACATCCCCTGATAAGAGATTAAACATTAACTCTGTAATTCTACTTTATCAACGTGCACACAGAAAATGCTTTCGATTACCAACAATCCTACCATTCACAAATAACAATTTTGACCAATACAATTTCTTAGAGCAAACGAACAATGTTTCTATCGCCACTTCTAGGCCGTTGGGAAAGTCCACTGAAAGTGTTTAAGAAATCAGAATTCCTATCGCAGTTGAATTTCCATTGGAGTTCTGCTAGGCTCAAACCTAAGAATTAACAGATTTATTTTCAAGGAAATAACCTTTTTGTTTTTTAAGACCCAGGATCTGCTTTTGTTCTGTTTAACAGTTGACGCGGGTCGGATTTTTAACAAAACTAGGACTGTAAGAGAATAAGGAGATGCCATTTTGAACGAATCACCCTTTCCAAAGAAACTCTTTTCTTCCTCTTTCTTCCACGCAGTTGGCTATGATTTCTAGTTTTCTGCCTTCACCACTAGCATCCACTTGCATAACAGAGCCCAGCGCTCTCCGAAGCTGTCTGGGCGTCCGGGAAGCCAGGGAAACTTTGCCCTTGGGTCTGAACACCTCCCTTAGCGAGTCCTGGGTTCCGCTTCCCTTCCCGTGTCCTCTGATCGATCCTAGCCAACTTCTGACCAGGGCCCGGGCACGTTACAACTCGGCCGACGAGGCGGGGGCTTAAGGGCGCCTCCTGATTCGAAGTTACACACAGAACAAAAGGGTGTCTACATACCCTAGCTTGGACAGAGACCGAGCACGAACGGTGCTCGTGCGATTCCAGCGGGGTATAGGCCAGGCGGCCTGAACTAGTTAGAAAAGTAGCCTTGAGCCCCCCAAGTCTCCCGCATTCGGAGGGAGAACCGCTGGCTCTGCCATTCCACAGGTGGCCGGCCGGAGCGTGCATCTGGACCCCCTGGACGAGCCCAAGGCGCGGGACTCTGCCCCCTGCAGTTGGCAGACGCTCCTTCCCCACGCCCAAGCTTGGCCAGGCGGGTCGCGTCCCGGGCCCACCTGCGCCGCCCGCCAGGATGACCGAGGTCCCCCTGATGCTCTGAAGTTCCTACTTCTTACACCAAGCAGGACCAGGGGGAACTGCTCGGAAGAAAGTTTTGGTGTGGAGGGACGAACGCCCAGGCCCTCTCCGCCCGCAGCAAGGATACTTACAGCTGGGCGACCCAGGAGGGAAGCGGCTCGGGGAGGCGCGCCAGTCGCTGGTGACTGCAGTCCAGCAGGTCCCCGAGGCATCGGCAGGGAGCGGGGCACAAGCGCTGGGCGGGAGCCCCGTGGTCCCCAACCCGGCCGCCCTGGGCCGGCGTGGCGCGCCCCAGCACAGCGCACAGCAGCAGCCCCAGCGCCGCGGCCGGCGCACGCAGCCTCCGCCTGCCCATCGCGGGGCAGCGGCCTCGGGGGCGGCCAGGAGCGACACACACGTCCCCGCCGAGCCCGGGCGCCGCCGGGCTGCTGGCCTCGCGCGCGAGCACCGCGCTCCCGCGCTCTCAGGCTGACCCTCAGGAGCGCCGCGCCTGCATGGCCCGGAGCGGCGAGCGGGAAGCCGGAGGGGGCGGCAGGCGGCGGCGGCGCAGCTGCAGGGTGAGCGGCGGCGGCGGCGCTCCGAGACACCCTTTCCGGCCGGAGAGAGAAACTTTGGCGTCCGCTCCGCCTGGCTCCGCGTGGCGGGGTCTGGAGGCGGGGCGAGCCGGGACGCCGGCGCGTCCATTGGCCGCCGAGGCCCCCCCGCGGCCACGTGACAATAACAAGGCTTCCCTCCCGGAGCCCGAGCCGAGGGAGAAAGTGGGGCTGAGATTGTAGGAAACTCGGAGTTAACATTTTCCAGCCTCTCACGCCAGCAGCCTCCTCTGCATATATCAAAAGGAGTGGAAGGGGGAAAGCGAGTGAGCAAACAAGTGAGCAAATATTAGGCCCGCTCTCTCCGAGGTTTTTAAAGGAGTTTGAAGGGAGGAAAGTTTTCTGTGTGCTCTCAGGAAACGTTTCAATTCCATAAGAAAAAGAAACAATTTTTTTTTTTTAATCTTTTTAGGTCACACCCGGTGATGCTGAGTGGTTACTCGTTCTGCACTCAGGAGTCACTCCTGGCGGTGCTCGGGGAATCATATGAGATGCCTGGGATCGAACCTCGGTGGGCCATGATTCAGGGCAAGTGCCCTACCCACTGTACTATCACTTCGGCCCCTTCATTAAATTTTTTTAAAAGTATGGATTATCCTATGGTTCATAGAGGTAGCAACGATTCCAGTGCATATACAATTCTTTTCTATGCCCATAGTGGTAGACTTTTTTCCGCATGTCAATTTCAAAAAGAAAATGATAATAAAATGTAGAAAGCATATGTGCTGGTAATGGTATATTAAGTTACAAGTAGCCATCCTGAGTGCACTGGGAAATAATGGAATTTGACCTTCTCGTTGCAGCTGTATCAGTGCAATAGCCAGGAATGATAAATGTTGTCTGGGTAATATAATGAACACTGGAGATTTAAAAAAGAAAAAAAAAACCACCTTTAAGGATTGGAGTATAGGCTGCCTTCTCAGCTAGTGGATCCAGCTTACAGTATTTCCTAGTGAAATTTGTGTCTTACCCTTCCAGGTGAGTAGGACCACAGGGTTTGGAACTGATGGAGACTTCAGGAACCATCTGTGTACATCCCTCTCTGGCTAAGGAGGTCTACCCAAGGAAGGTAACCCTCTGAGGCAAAAACTAGAAGCATTAACTTCATGGTTCCACTTCTGCATTCATTTTTTTTCTTACTTGTGGTCTGCCAAAAACTTCATTGTACTGAACTATTGAGGGGTGATGATTGGAGATTGATTTACATAGCTGAGTTGTACAAACATTTTTATAGGGGTCACACCATGGAGGGCTCAGTGCCATCAGGGGCACATCTGTTAGTGCTGAGATGGAGAAGTGGTGGTAAGTGGGGAGGTACAAGTTGTCAGGAATAGAAATTAGCACTGGCACATCCACACATGCAGGGCATGTGCCTAGCACTTGAATCACATTTTCCATCCCATATTATCAATACCTCTAACTCCAATGCAATAAATTTCCTCTGTAGCAAATTATCCAGGTAAGTCTACCCATTCGTGACTTCACAACAAAGACTAAAGTTGAAACACAAGATTTAGCTATATCCCACCATTCTGTTTCCCTCTGCTGTTAGTATCAACTCCACCATCTTTTTCAATGTTCATGTGTATATGAGAAATGTGGAACTTGAAGGGACCTAACCCAGGGTATCTACCACTGAGCCACATCCACTTTTCAATTTGATGATGTGCATCTTAATTGTGTGTGAAATGATGGAGCTTGGTGTTGAATTATCATTTAACCTGCTTGTCTTTATTTAAAAGACATATCACTAGCCTACTGTCAATTTTCTGACTGAGACTACCTTGAACTACCTATCACACATAAAAAAAATCAAAATTTGGTGTTGACGTTTTTTTTTAAAAAAGAAATATGCTACTATGCACTTATTTTTACATATAAGCATGGTGCAATGAGTCTCCCACTGAACATAGAGAGTGGTGGCTGTTTTTACGGGGAAGATTAGTTAATTGTCTCTCCCATTCTATTCCCTCCTTGTGTTATTTTATCTTTTGTGAATACAAATGGACTTAGATTCATTCTGTATAGGAGTTTTGGCCCTATCATCCTCTTTAAAAAGTGACATGAATGTTTGAATGTAATATGTTGAATTAAATGTCACCGTCATAAAACTTCTTCCTTTCCTCCATGAATTTAGATTCTCAAAGAGTGGCACGTCCTTCTGTTCAGCTGCTAGTGTTCCGGAAGCCTCGTTCTCATTCTCAGCAGCAGCTGTGCATTCAAGCATTTAGTAGGTCCTGATGAAGAAAGCAAGAAATTTCTCTTCTCTTTTTCTCTAAACACTTTATGCAAACTGAGACAACCTTGCTAGTGGACTCTTGCTTGGAGTACTGCTACAGCTTCTATCCCATCTGGCATTCCAAACCTCTCTTCAAATTATACCCTGAAAGCTGATATCTGCACCCATGACTGAACTCCCTGGTTCCTTTCATGGGACTCTCAGAGTCCTTAGAATATGTTTAACTTTCATAGAGTTTCATACGCTCTGTGTGTGTGTGTGTGTGTGTGTGTGTGGTTTCTACCTCTTGAGCAGATTTTATTTCATGTTGCCTCTTCTCTCTCTGAACTGCTTACAAATCTCTCCCCAAGCTACATCTTTTTTTTTTTTGACTCTCCTTCTCATGCTGGTCCCTTGACCAAATAATTGACTCTAACCTTCTTCTGCCTGTTAGATTTGAACTCAGATGAATCATTCCTATTTTCCATGAGGCTTGCTTTCTCTATACTTGTTCTTCTGACACATTCCCAGCATGTCTGGTGTTCCCTGGAATTTAATTGGACCTTTTATTCCTTCTACTGCTTAGCCAATGCCTAACTTCCTCTTAAAGAAGGACATTTTGCATGCCCTTAAAGAGGTTTCTTAAAACCTGATATATAATGTTAAATTAAAATTTTACTATCTCAATTTCTCCCATATACTGAAGAAATTATGCCCTTTTATCTGATTTTCATGTATCAGTTCACTGGATTAACTGCCATGGTCTGTTCCCTGTTCAAGATTAATTGACTAACGCCTATGACTAGCTGAAATCTAGAGGCTACTAGTCCCTCCCTAGGTCACCCTTTTATGTTTGCTCTATGGGTAGATGCTGATCACAGTACCTCAGAGTTGTTTACATCTATAATTGCACAATTGTGCCTCGTATTGTGTAAGCTAAATAAAAACAAGTGCAACCTGAAAGGAACTTCAGTTCTATGATAATGAATTAGAAGCTTGGGAGAGATTTTTAAAGGCAATCCCTAAGATGTCAAATTAATTTGCTAGGAGCAAGGTAATTGCCAAAACTGGGGAGAAATTCTCAATCTTAAGTATTCATTAGCTAGAATCAGTTGGAAGAGGAAGAGGATAATAGATATTTTACAGGTGTGACTTTCACTTACTTACAACTTTACCTAGTCAGTCAAAGAACAAACCCACACAGTGTAGCACTCTGTTACCATCCTGACCACCCTCTATCTAATATGTAATCCCATGGAGTAAAAGGAAAAAGGAACAAGTCTGACCTGGGAACTTGCAAGCAATGAATTATTTCCACAGACTTCTCAAACACATAGGCATCACAGCATGGAACTTCCTCCTGGCTATCTATCTAGGCAGGTGAAAAGGGAATGCCCTTTGAAGTCCTCCCAGCCCTGTGGCTTTCTTGGCACTGTGCAGGAAAAGGAACAAAGGTAAAATACTAGGAAAGAGAATCTTTAATCCAGGGGAGAAAGGAACATAAAATTCTATTTAGCTATCTGAATTTCTTTCAGAAAGAATTTCAGTACTGATAACTTTCAGTGATAACAGGGACCTAGAAATAGGCTCAGTACTTCATCCTCTCCTTAGGTTGTTTTTTGTTTTGTTTTGTTTTAATAACTCCTCAAACACATAAAGCAAATGTATTTCTATGAAGCTCCTGAGTGTCCTGTGTCATAAATCAGAATTGAGCATAAGGTTATCAGATTCATTTTGGTTGGAGTGTTGTTGTTTTAAAGCAATTGGACTGAGATGAGAGAAACTGTTGTATTACAGCACTTCTTAAGAGGTTTGCACTGGTTAAATGAGTAGTTGAAAATTGACTTCCCATTGCAAATTACCTAAATCACACTGGACAGTTTCACATTTATAACTTTGTCCCAGTGAATGGCAAGTCCCATCTATTTTCCAAACAGCCTCCTGCTGTCCATTCTGTGCTTAGTATTACCCAGCTCTGGTATTCTTTTCAGTGTTCCTGTTTTTCTCTCCCCCTGGCAAGTGTGAGACTTTCTTATCTTGCATGCTGGCAAGGGCAATGACTCATGATAAAAAGTAATAGAGGTGCTAAGCTGTCAGTTTTAACATCCAAGGACAAGACTGAAAGCTAAACACTCAGTACTGGCTTTATCATTACAGTGAATGACACAGTTTGTGTAAGTGTGAACTGTGAAAGAGATAAAGGCAAAGTAGGAAGAAAAGCACTCACAGAAAAAAATCCCAGATAATGATGCCAAAAAGCAAACGTTGCTGTACTCTGAAACCTAACCATATCATTTCCCATTCATTAAGGCATTTTAGAAGCCATAGATAACCTCCTTTCCTTTTACAATTTTTTTTTTAAAGAAAAAGAAGCAACAGTAAGTAATGTTTCTTTTAGAAAACAGGAGGGCTGTGGAAATTTGCTTTACAAAAGCCCAGCTATGAACAGGTCTTAGCTCTTTACAATATATTTAGGAAAATTAAGAAAGCCACCCACCTGCTTTTTCTCAAGTTGGCCACTGTGCAAAATTATTTAAATCGAAA